CACACACACACACACACACACACACACACACCCTAAAGAAAAACTTCAGGTTTATTCCCCTTGAAATTTAATCCCCACTTCCACGCCTGAAGGAGGAACAGATTGAAAACTGCAGCACGGAGTCAACAGCCGTGGAGGTAAGGGGGAATAAGAATGTCAAGGGATGTGCAGCTGACCCTGGTAGAGAAGGAAGGAGACGAAGCCAACCCAAAGGGCTGGGAGTTGGCTAGGGAGACTTTTACAAATGACCTCAGAGAGGTGAAGAAGGAGGGAACCATGAGAAAGACAATCAGAATAGCCCTGCTTGATTGGATAAGGCAGGGGCAAAGAACTACTGGGAGAGGTTTTCAGGATTGACGTTAGCCCTTGAGGTCAACTGTATTAGGACACAGTGAGGGCAGATGGTCCATGAATGTCCTTTATCGTGAGAAGGCAGGACGTCTGCCCGTGTTTCTCCATTACCGAACGAAAGGAAGGTGGGGTTACTCTGAGTTTCTTCCTGCCCTCTTCCATTTATTTTAGGATTGAGTAATCTACAAGGGCCCCTCCCCTCCCTGGCTTGTCCATTCCTTCCCTACTCCAAGTTAGGAAAGCAGGGTGGGAAAGAAGAGAGATAGAAAGCCAAAGAGGTTAAATGGAGAGAAACATTTATTACGCGCTCCGAATATTTTCTGGCACCATCGATCCGCGCTTTGGCACCTTCCTTGCATGCAAACCCCAGTCCGGCGTTCGCACCAGTGTCCATCCTCCACATAATGGTTTTCCGAGCATTCGGCTGAGGTCCCGTTGCAAAACTCTTTGAGATCACAGTCTGGGTCCTCTAGGTCTCTGCATAAAGCACCCCTGGCCTTCAACTGCAAGAGAAGAAAAGAACAAGTAACTGTAGCCAGGAATCCAGCTGCGTACAGGTCGACATCCTAATTTCAGAGAATTAAGGAGAAACTAAACACTGGATTAAGAAGAAGTTTAAGGAGACAATTAGCCACTGGGACGGCTTGCCTTCAGAAATTGTGGGCGCTCCATCACAGGAGGTTTTTAAGAGACTAGACCGTCACTTATCTGAAATGGGCGTATAGGGTTAACTGAAAAAGTATAAGGTGTCCTGCTTGAGCAGGGGGTTGGACTAGAAGACCTCCAAGGTCCCTTCCAGCTCATTCATTCTGGGCCTTGACTTACAACAGGACTACCTGTGTTATATTAAGGAGAAGTGTGGTGCCCAAGTGTTGGGAAGTGAAGTACCGCAGCTCCTCTCTCGAGGTATTTCATTACGCACATCGAACACAGAAATGAGAATGGGGAGAAAAAGAGAGAGAGAAAAGGAGGTGGAGGAGGAGGAGGAGGAGGAGGAGGAGGAGGAGGAGGAGAAAGAAGAAGAGGAGGAAGAGGAAGAAGAGGAGTTTAGTTTACTTTATTGTCACTGCACCTCGTACAACGAAGTCAAACACCATCTTCAGGGCATATCATGACCATGAAAACAAACACAAACACACATCCTTCACCCTCCACACATTGGACCGAAAACCCCCAACACCACACCAACACTGCACCAACACAGTAGAATTCAAAAGAGCTACTGCCCTGGGATAGAAGCTGTTTTCAGCCTATTTGTCCTTGTTTTTATTATCTGGTACCGTTTGCCAGATGGTAATAGTTCAAAAAAAAAGGGTTCCCAGGATGAGATGGATCTTTGAGGATGTTTTGAACTTTCTTGAGGCAGCGGGAGCTATGAAGCTCTTCCAAAGAGGGGAGAGGGCAACCAATGATCCTCTGGGCAATGACATTAACCCTCTGATGCACTGTCCTATCTGCCACTGTGCAATTGGCAAACCATCCACAGGTGCAGTAAGTTAAGATATTCTCTATGGTGCAGCGGTAGAAGGTCCCCAGCAGTTTTTCATTCAGTTGTTGTTTTCTGAGAAGCCTCAGGTAGTCTAATCTCTGCTGGGCCCTTTTGACCGGGGCTGCAATGTGGGCACCCCAGGTCAGGTCCTCTTTTAGGGTAACACCCAGAAACTTAAAACTGGCCACTTGCTCCACTTGGTCTTCAGAAAGAGGAAGAGGAAGAAGAGGGGGAGGAAGAAGAGGAAGAAGAAGAGGAAGAAGAAGAGGAGGAGGAGGAGGAAGAAGAAGAAGAGGAAGAGGAAGAGGAAGAGGAAGAGGAAGAGGAAGAGGAGATAATCCCAACTATTCTCCTCTCAAGATGATTTTGCCTCTTTGGAGGCAAAACCATCTTGAAGGCAAGACCAGAAATAACAGATGGAAACCTATCAAGGAGAGATCCAACCTAGAACTAAGGAGAAATTTCCTTTCTGTGAGAACAAGCAATCCTTTCCAGCTCTGTTATGCTATATTCTGTAGAGGGGCCAAAAAAAATAAATAAATCCAAGATGGCTTCCATTCCATCCCACCTTGACCGGCACTTACCCTGCAGGTTCCCAGCAAACAGCAGTCTCCTTGGGCGCACTGCATCCCTGCTTTCAAGGTGCAATCCGATTCACAACAAGGATGGTTTTCACATTCCTGCAAACGAAAGGAATACACGGAGGAGCTGAGCATCCTAGAACATAGAATCCCATGGCTGGAAGGGTTATCTAGTCCAACCCCCTGCCCTAAGTAGAGATACCTTCCCACGCAAACCTCCAACGATCGAGCACCTACAACTCTGGAAAGCAACTCTGTCCCATTTGAGGAATTTCCCAGCGCAGGGAATGTTTGGATCATGGATGGAGAGATGGGACACCCGGGCCCATAAGGGCCTGTGACAATTCACCATGGCCAACTCGGTGTGGCCAACTTGTCACAGCCAAATGACTGTGGCTTACTCGACCCCGGCCAACTTACCATGGCCAACTCACTGCAGGATGACTCACTACGGGACAAGAGTTTACACACTACTACCAAAGGAATGGGGGAAGAGAATCATTTTTTAAAAGGATGCAAAAAGGAGGGACAGAATGAAATGGGAATGGCAAAAACTGAAATAATTTTTATTTATTTTAAATAATTAAACAGAACTGTTAAACCGTCTCGCAAGTGAGCTGCATCGACTGCAGTGAGTTGGCCGTGGCAAAGTTGGCCATGGTGAGTTGTCCCATTCGTGTCCCATAACCTGAAGCGGAAGGTCATGAGAATGTTGTGGTCTGTCGGCCGCCGGCCTCTCCAGCAGTCAATGTGGTGTGTGGTGTGGGAGTGAGGGTCAGCATCAAGGCAACCTGAGAGCTCCAAGGAGGGGAAGAGGGAATGGACAGTCAGAGAGAGAGAAAGAGAGAGAGAGAGAGAGAGAGAGAGGGAGAGACAGAGGCGGAGCCTGGGCCACCTGTCACCCTCAGATGGAGAATCAACAGCCCCCAGGTCTGGAGGTGGCTGATGAGGAAGAGGAGGAACAGCTGGGTCCAGTCCCTGATGTGCAAATGCACAGAAGGCAGAGGAGAGGAGAGCAATGGAAATCTATGGGCTGGTCTTTAGGACAGAAGAGCCACTGCTGCTAGCAAGTCCCTGCCTTAGCTCTGGGGATTTAAAAAAGGCAGGAGATGAAGAGATGTGGCAGACTACTGCCAGAAAGACTTGTTACCTTGCGTTGAAAGAGAAACTTTTTTTCCAGGGCTGCTGGCACTCCTAATAAAAGGGAACATTTAACTACAGAGGGTTTGTAGTGTTTGGGAGCCAGTTCAGAATACAGAAGTCCAGCCTCTGAATTAACCCATTTTCTGGAGGTGAACAATAAATTGTCCCATGGTCTAAACCACAGGTCTGTTGTGGTCCGCTGGCAGCCTGCAGAGACAGTGGGGAGGAACATGGGGCAGTCCAAGAGTCTGGGGAAGACTCGGACGATGGCCCTGCATCCGATGCAGAGGTGGGTCCAGGGCCATCTGGGAATTATGTGCTGACTCCGGACCTCCAGAATCTGGCAGCAGCGAGGCAGAGGAACAAGGGGAGCCTGTTCCCAATGTGCGTATGCACAGAGCTGCCAGAAGGCAAGAGCAGTTAAGACAAAAGGGGCAACTCGGGAGTAAGGTTTGGAGGTGATTGGCCCTCTCATCAGACATAAAGGAGGAGCAAAGGGACAGGAACCTTTGCAGGAAGCAACTTTGTTCGTACTGGTCAGTTTGAAACCTAAAGTTCTGTGTTGAATTTGTGCTCCGGTTGGCCTCGTATAACTAATTGGAAATTTAGTCGCTGGCAGCATTTCAAGGAAGATAAAGGTGCGTGCTTATTAGACTTATCCCGAAGGACTTTGGCAGACTTCCATGGGAATATTTACAAACTGTTGGAGACTCATTACGTGCTGTGAATTCACAGCCGCTGAAATAAAGAAAAAAAGGATTTGGGGACTAACGTGTGTTTGTTAATGTCTCAATAAGCCTTGGTGCAGAACAGGGCCCTCAAACTTGACAACTTTTAAGACTTGTGGACTTCAACTCCCAGAATTCCTCCGCCAGGCAAGCCGGACCTGTTAACTCCCAATAAATCCTTTTGAAACTTTGGAAGTTTGGCTTGAGACTATGATTTAAATGGGGTTAACTGCTGGAATCCTGACAACTAGATTATCTATCCTGCTCGTTATTAGTTCTTATTTTAAAGAGATCTTTCTTTCTTTCTTTCTTTCTTTCCTTTCTTTCTTTCTTTCTTTCTTTCTTTCCCACCCCCTCTGATCCTTTCCCCCTTTTTCTTGCAAACCTTCATTGTGCCACAATCGCATTGCTCCCCGTCTTCGACCACGTGGTTGCCACAGAGGGGTGCTCGGTAGGAGATATCGAAACGTGGCTTGTTCTGAAGGCACTGGGACCAGGCAGAGTTCAGGAAATTCTGGAAATCTTTGACACTGCAGCTGCTGAAGGACTTGATGCCACTGGACTGTCTGGAAGGGGTGGGGGGTGGGAAACACAGCTCTGAATAGAATGTGGACAGCTAAGGCTGGAAGGGACCTTGGAGGTCTTCTAGTCCAACCCCTGGAGCTTCACACCATCCCGGTTAAATGGTACATCCAGCCTCTTTTTGAAAACTTTCAGCAATGGAGCACCCACAATGCCAGAGGCAAGCTATTCCACCGATTAATTGTTCTCACAACCAAGTGGGATTTTTTAAAAAACGAACGTTTTTAATTAGGTTATTAAGTATTATAAAATACAAGAGTCAATAAAAGAGCAGTGAGGAGGGAGAGGAAAGAGAAGTGAAAGGTAAGAAGAAGAAAAAAGAAAAGAAAAGGAAGAATTGACTTCCAACTCTCTCTGTTGCAGTGGAATAAGGCATCAGCATCGAAGCATAGCTTTTCGCTTTTCCATAATAATACGAGCAAGCCATTTCTATAAAGATCTATCTATCTAATCTATAAAACCCAGAGTCAAAGTTCCATCCTTTTGCACAAAATAGTCCATTTTGCCATTTCACCCAACTCCATCAACTTCTGCAACCATTCTTCCATGGTAGGCGTCTTTCCACCTTTGTGTGTGCCATAGCTTTGCTCAGAGGTTCTGACCAGTTCTAGAGAACCGGTAGTGGAAATTTGGAGTAGTTTGGAGAGCCAGCAAATACCGCCTCTGACTGGCCCCACCAACCCCATCTATTCTCTGCCTCCCATTGAGTCCCAGCTGATCAGCTGGGTCTTCTTTGGTTGCTCCGCACAGGAGAATGGAGCTGGAAAGCAGGTTAGTGGGGTAGGGAGGGAGTGGGGATTTTGGCGGTAACCTTCCCCTGGAATGGGGAGGGAATGGAGGTTTTACAGTCTCCTTTCCCTGCCCCACCCACTAAGCCAAGCCACACCCACAGAACACCATGCCCACCAAGCCACGCCCACATCTGATCAGCTGGGTCTCCTTTTGTTGCCCTGCCCAGGAGAACGGAGCTGGAAAGCAGGTTAGTGGGGTGGGGAAGGAATGGGGATTTTGCAGTAACCTTCCCCTGCCATGCCCACCAAGCCATGCCACGCCCACCAAGCCACGCCCACAGAACCGGGAGTAAAAAAAAATTTGAATCTCATGACTCTTGATGCTGTCAACATATACAATAACGAAGTCCCAAATTTTGGAGATAGGTAATAGGAAAGATGAGGTATAGAAGAATAGCAATACAGCCCTTATTAAATAGTCCATCGGTGTTGTCAAACTATTGTTGTCAAAATGATCATCGAGGCTTACGCTGCTCTGGTGTTCATCAAGCAGACTGTCCCCGAACAATGACAATCTCTGGTGTCATCGAAATACAGTCCGACGCTAAACCCCAGCAACTGGGCCACTATAACTGAGAAAGCTTCCAGGGTCATTCCGTTTTGAAACTAAGAGAAAGCAGAAGTCCATTAAAAAAAGTGGTAACCGCTAACGATGAAAGAGCCACATTCGGGTTCTGACGAGTCTTTAAGATCCTGGAAATAACCCGCAAAAGATTTGATCAGAAGTTTATCTTCGGCCCTGTTTTGACCCCTGTGTTTTCACGCAGTTGTAAGTGCTTCAGGGTTGTTCTTCAACTCCATGAACGCAACCCTTATCTGCAACCCGTTAAAGCAAGGGTCTTCAAACGTGGCAACTTTAAGACTTGGGGACTTCAACTCCCAGAATTCCTGAGCTAACATGGTTGGAGGAGGAATTCTGGGAGTTGGAAGTCCACAAGTCTTAAAGATATCAAGTTTGGGGAGCCCTGTCCTAATAGAAGAGAATAATTGTTGCTCAGAGTTGAACCAGTGGGGGGACTTTGATGTTCTCTGAGTTTTGGTGGTTTTCTTGCAGATGTTTCATTACCCAACTAGGTAATATCATCAGTGCTAGAAGGGAGCAGGGTTTGGTCTGTGAGTTGGGATTGGTCTACTGCAAAGGTCTCCAAACTTGGTAACTTTAAGGCTTATGGACTTCCAACTCCCAGAATTCCTGAGCTAACATGACTGGAGGAGGAATTCTGGGAATTGAAGTCCACAAGTCTTAAAGCGGTCCAGTTTGAAGACCCCTGCATTAAAGCAACTCTTTCTGAAGTCAGGTGAGCCTGAACAAAGAGGCAGCTGCTTTAATGAACCACAGACAGGTGATGCATTGTACCAAATTGATTACTGAATATTGCACAGCCCCAAATGCATATCCAGTCTGGGGAGTTCAACATTCGTAAGCATTTTTGGAAAAAATAGGGAGATGGTCAGAAGAGAGGAAAAAATAATCTTGCTCCTTCCACCTTCCTTTCATTATACTAAGATGTGGACATTTATATAACAAAATATCCATTTATGTTAATGCTCTGCCCCATCCCTCAATTAAGGTGGTATTCAGCTGGTTCTGACCAGTTCTGGAGAGCCAGTACCAGAAATGTTGAGTAGTTTGGAGAACTGGCAAATCCCACCCCTGACTGGCCCCGCCAACCCCATCTATTCCCTGCCTCCCACTGAGTCCCAGCTGATCGGCTGGGTCTTCTTTGGTTGCCCTGCCCAGGAGAACAGAGCTGGAAAGCAGGTTAGTGGGGTGGGGAGAGAATGGGGATTTTGCAGTATATCCTTCCCCTGCCACGCCCACCAAGCCATGCCACACCCATCAAACCACGCCCACAGAACCGGTAGTAAAAAAAAGAAATTAATCCCATCACTAACCCCACCCGCATTTTTACGCTAAACTATTGAAAAAATAACAATTTCGGGGCAGTGCTGTGCAAAAGGTTAAATTAAGGATTAGTGTAACCCTTTTCTGGGGATAGACAGCATCCTTAACTAAAAAGCAACCAAACAGACTAGGTTTACCTCATGCTCTCAGCCACACCATGACTAACATCCATCAAGCTCAGGGCATTGTGGAAATGCAGTTGCAAATTTATGAACTGATCTGATGAAGTGGATGCCAGCTGCCACCTCATTCGTGCTTGTGCTTCGCTTCTATTAGGGGACAAACTGCCATGAACTATTATGGGGAAAGGGGAAATGTAACAGGGAAGGCTTGGGGGCAGGGGTGGGATTCTACCAGTTTACACCTATTCACTAGAACCGGTTGTTAACATTCTAAGCAGTTCGGAGAACCGGTTGTTAGAAGAAAATACTGGCCTAATCCTGTAAGGAAGGCAGGAAGGAAACATTCTGGTGTTGCTTACGGAAACTACTGCCTCTCCGTTAACCCTGGCAGGACGAGACTTCCTGTTTCAGGAACTTCTCTGGAGTTTTTTTTTTTCCCTTCTTTGCTGGTACTTGATCAAAGAAGCCTTGATCAGAACATTACTGCAATACACTTGACTTCTAAATAAACTATATCTTTCTCAACAAATGGAATCAAGGATC